GGACCAAACAGACGTCTGTCTAAACATTACAAGTTGCTAAACGAAAGCGTACAGCTTCAATAAGCAGAGCAATAGTCTCCTTAACTTAAGAGAAATGTCTGTAGCAGGCATATCATCCTGACCTGATACCACAGAAGGGAAGGGGGGGGAAGTCTTTCTCAGCTGACATATCTTCCTCTTTCACTGTGTCTGGCTCAAGGGTAAAGTCAAAGTCAAATTTAGGAGGGGTGGCCGAAGGAGCACGGCTGTGATCACTGCTGTCTAAGGTCTCAACAAGGCCAGAAATTCTGCCCATGAACTTTAACATTATAGCAGAAATTCCTCTCTAGAAAGGAAGGATGAAGCCAGAGTGGCTGAATGACAAAAAGAAAGCAGGGAAAAAGAATAGGGGACACCAAAAAAGGAGAGAGTACTTAGGCCCTGAACTGATAATAACTCCCCCTGCCAAGGAAGGTAAAGGCTGGAAGGAAACATAGGAACAATAACACCAAACCATGCACGCTGCAGAATTAAAAATGGTGCCAATAGCACCATTAACCATCCTGGAGCCATCATCGTACCTCTGGATAAAGGTCACCATCGCCAAAAAAGGAGAATTAAATGGCCACCCTGGGATGAATGTTTAAGGATCTTCCATCAAAAAAATCAATCTGTGGCAGAATTACTGTGGGATTAAAGCCTTCCTGGATTTTACCTCCACAATGGCACACCCCCACAAGGGACTTCTGCTCCCTGCAGGTAACTCCATACACTGCTCTATGGTGGAGCCGAACAATGAAAGAATCATCCAGAGAGAGAAACCTCTTTGAAGAAGGTAAGCTTTTCTCTGTAGTGATAAGAGGTCCATCACCTAAGAGCACTGGCAAACAACTGGGGCTAGCTGAGAGTGGGAGGAGTTTATTTATTTATTATTATTTATTTATTTATCGAGTTTATATAGCGCCAAAGGGTTTGCTCAGCGCTGTACAATAGAGGGGGGACAATACAGAGGAGTTATACAATACAGGGCAATGTCCCTGCAGCCTTCTTTAGTTAGTGTCCAATCACCTGAAGCTAGCTCTATATAACCCAGTTGTAATGATTTTGAAAATGCCTGTACTGTACGATCAAGAAAGAATATTATCTTAATTACATTGATAAACTAAGCCAAATACATTACAGCATTTGTCCATAAATGATGTATGTATACACATAAAGAAAAGTAAAAATATAAAGTAATTCAGTTTCCAGCAAACACAATCCAGCAGCCTATCAGAGATAAAAGAAAGCACTTTTATTGGTATTTTTTAATTAGCAAAGGTGCATGGCTTGTTCAAAGCTTATGTGTTTATAAATAAAGCAGAAAGCAAGCTATGTTACAAGGCAAATTCTTTGTGTGCAGAACCTTCGTTGGAAGCTGTCATTCTTGTATTGGAGGCAATAACATTACCTGCACCAAATTTTGAAAACAACAGTTCAACCTTACTGTTCCAGGACTAGCTCTGTTAAGTTCAGAAGTCAGAGAATAGCAGCCTCCTAAGTCAGTCTTAATGACAATTAAATACTTTAGGCTTATGACTTGGTAATGTGAGTCTGGGATATCTAGGTAGGTTTTAACTCATTAATGCAGGCAGAACTTATGCTGGCTTATTTTCTTGGCTAACTGGTTCCAGTTTGTCAATCATGGTGCTTCTCTGTGAAAGTAAGTAAAGGGTCAGTTATAAAAAGAAAATTCTTGAGCAATGTAACCGGCTATTTATGTACATCCTCAATTAAATCAATGTAAATGTGCCCATCTGCACATGCACATAATGTACTCTAAAAAATCTTGATTAAAAGAGTAGTATGGCCAAAGCTTTTTTTTGGCCATGCTTCTTATGTGGGTCACAGAAGTGCACTTATTTCTGCACTCCTGTGGCCCATATTCAGCGAACAAAAAGCTGCACCAGTCCCTACATAAAATAAATGTGTATAGTACATGTATGAATAACTGAGATGATGGTGCATTTTAGTTTATATTTCCCATGCCATACTACAATGAAATGTGCTAAGATGACAGAAGTGGGGGGATTTATTTACAGTGGTTCTAACCCCTCACTACTTTATCCAAAAATATGTTTTGCCTTTAGTTATACTTTACACTTTTCTGACTTCTGATGGCACCTCTGTATCTATAGAAATGAGCCTGGGGTAAAGTTTAGCTATTATACACAAGAGTATAATTTTGTATGTTCATAGCTATCTGTTCCCTGCTAGTTAAATGCTCTTGTAGCCTGCTATTATTAATTATAGGAGGTCTCCATTACACCTCTGGGCACTGTATTAATTGTGGTTTTCTACACAAAGCGATAAACCATCTGCTTTTGTGTAAACAGAAAACACTCTACTCATGGATCCTTAAGAAATCTGTTGTTCGTCATATTTTTTACTAATCCAGAATGACCAAAAATGACTTCTTACTCTCTCACTCCCCTATTATTAGACACAACCTAACCCTCCCCAAAGATTTTTACAGGTACACCTGGAAGGAGCAAAACAAGCATACATTTAGACACCTAAATTCACTTTTAAGTCTTACAAATCATGACTAAGAGCCGTTCACACTGCCCCGGTGCTTTTTCCCACTATGCAGGTGATTCCCATATAGTTATATTGTGTCCCATGTGTTTGGTGCGTTTTCTGAAAGCGCACCAACGATGCAGCATGCAGGAGTGTTGATGCACGTTCAATAAGTGCGCAAACACGTGGGACACAATATAACTCTCTTGGAAAGTGCAGCTAACACACTCCAAACATACGGGTATGCTGCACTGTGGGAATACCGCACTGCAGTAGTGTGAAAGTGCACTTTAGTTTATTTTTTACTGTAACCTACATTAAAAGGATTTATTGTTTCTCCAGTTTTTTTCTACTTTTCTCTGCTATTACAGTAGTAACAATAAAATAACCTATAGTCATAAATATAGCTGTTTGGTACAGGTTATACAACGGAAAAAAAAATCTTAAAATATTAAAACAGTCTTTAGATGGGTGCTTTCTGTGATCCAAGAAGAGGCTAGCCAGACCAATTATATGAAGTGTTAATGAAAATAAACTAGGGTTAGAAACAGCTTTATGCTAGAGAAACCAGTCAAGTCAGCAAGAGCTCCTAGTGCTAATCATATCTACATTGTCTTCACCTGGGATTGTTCTTCAACGTAACATGGCCACTGTCAGACAACAGAAATAGGCAAAATGGTGAGACATTTGACAATGAAGAGTAATGGAATACTTTGATGATATGATTAAAATAGGGAATATGCCAGTCTGTTAAAATCCCAAAATGTTGTTGCTATACACCTGAGGCTTTGGCATCAGAGATATTTGTCTTTAAAGTCATGTCATATTTTTAAAGGTATTGTCACATTAGAAGATTTGATTTATTTCATTGTGCACATATAAAAAGATCAGGTATTAACTTAACCCTGCTGAGAATGTGGTTGGCTACTGACAGCAATAAGGACTATAGCATCAACTGTGAACATTGTACTCTGTAAAAGTCAATTCACACTACATGCGGTGACAGACATTTTACCGCATAGTAAAATGGAAGTGGGGGTGAGACCAAGCACCGTTTGCTAGAGAGTTTTTGGGAGCATTTTTACAGCAGAAAAAAAGCTAAAAGCTCCTAAACGGTACTAAAATACACTTTTATCCAGCGTTTTTTTTACTTTTATGCAAACCGGTAGAGTGCATGGAGCCTTAAGCATTTGTGTTTACAATGCCTGAAGAAGGAAGAAAAACTTTACTGAAATTGAAAATGCAAATGTAAGAAGGAAGTATAGATATTTTTTCATGTTCCAGACAGTCTATAAGACCTAAAATATTTCTCTTGGAAAAACATAGGCTTATTTACTAACTTGCATTAAAGAGAAGTGATGTGTAGTAACCTAAGTCAATCAATAAACTGGTTGTATGTACTAACTAAAAGCTTGTCTCACAGGGTTAGTGGGACCTTTTTTTCTAATATGCTTTAAACAAGTGAAAATGCCACTGAAACTGTTATTTAGATTTTTTAGCTATTCTACTGTAACATCACAACTCATAAGCAATGATGTACTAAACTAACATCTGAGACATTTAGGTCTCATTCAAACTGATAATGTCAAACCTGAGCTCATATGCATCTAGAAGACCTTTCTCTTTTTCAAAATGCGCCGCACCAAGTCCCATGGTGCCGCAGCACCATGTGATCTGGCACACATAAAAATGTTCCACATTTGCCGATATGTGGGGAGACCAATATAAATTAATGGCACCCTCACGTGTCTGCTAAAGAGCAGCATGTTTTGCTTTCAGATCAGCATGTGTGCAATTTTGTGAGCAATCCCACACGCACAAGTGTGAACCTACCCAAACCGCACATAAGCACAGATTTGACAATTCCAGTAACAATGAATCCTAATCAGAAAAGCCAAGATAGCTCCTACTTTCATAATCAAAGATATAGAGAATATCAGCCAAGCATTTCACCCAATCCTTAGTGGTACTAGCGCTAGTCTACTGCCGCCAGCCACCAAGATGCTCATGTTCCATACACAGCAAGATTTCCCTGTGAACATTTGTATCTTGTGAAGAATTGCCTACGTATGCCTTAATATTCAAGTATTTGTTACAGTTGGCATTTACTTCAGATTATGTGTGGCTATTTCTTGTTTCAACCTTGACATCCACGGTGCTAAGGAAAGTTTCAGAAATTTTAAGAACAACATAGACTTTTCTGTCACTAGGTTTACAGTGAGTTCTCTATCAGTATGTATGTTGTGTTTACTTTTTCCCTATTTGTTTTGGAAAACAGATTTCCTTTAATAAAGTTACTTATTTTTTGTTTAATGGAGATACAAGGATTTTTAAAATATGACACTTTTTGACAATTGCAACTGTTTACACAAATGGCAAAGACTGACATATTCTCATAATCACAGATAATTTTACAGTATGATGACCACAGACAGTACCTACATGCATTAACATCTACCTACCTGCCTTTGTTCTCCTTTCCTTTGACTTTGCTTTCTTGAGTTTTACCACCCAGTGGATCCCATTCTACATACGAGTCTTCCACCTTCAGGTTCAGATGGGATGATGTGTTGTCAAGGCCAAAGATGAGGGCTGTCACACAACATTTGGACAGTCAACTTTAAATTCTGAGAAAAATGCTTACTGCTACTTCAAAACAATAGTTTATTCAACTCTTGCTCATTACCGACCTGCAAGGGTAAGCCAATAGGGCAGCAACTAAAGTGCAGAAAAGATGTTTCTTATTAGTCCTAATAGCTCTTCTACCAATGTGCACAATCCTATGATCTACAACAGTGGACAAATCTAGAGATAATCTAATGTGCATGAGGCATCTTAGGGCATGTTAGATGTGGTCAAAAAGATGTTTTAATATAACACGCTGTATTTGAAAACTTGAAGAGGAACAACTTAAAATGAGATCTTATATACCAGGGGTAGGCAACCTTAAAGAGCTGGAGATCTAACTAAACAACAAGGGAGGAGGCAAAGATCACCAGGCACAGTGTCACGGCCACACACCTGATTTAAACCTCTAATTGCCGTACTTATCGCATATCGCCTTATAACCGCTTGTCAAACACACTCGGAGCGCTTTTCAGAGGAGCAACAGTGCCTGCTGCACTTGTAGGTGTGGTGCACTTTCAAAAAGTGCACCAAAAGAGCAGGATATAATAGAAGTCTATGGCTAAGCGCAGCAAACCTACAGGAATCAGTGTGAAAGTAGCCCTATACTATTATGCCCAGTGTATTCCTTCACATTGACTTGAAGATCTCTTCTTTCCTGATGCTGGAACTACTCTGGAGAGCACTAGATGGGGTAAAAGGTGGAGTGCAGTTGGTATCACTCCACATGGGACAGGAGCCAGTAATACCAGATGAGGCATCAGCTTATGCAGCTCTTGCTCCCTACTACAGCTCCAACCTTACAAGCAGTCCCTCTGCATTGCAATGTTGGATGCTCTGGGAAGGCGGATCAGCAAGCCCACGCCAAGATCTACAAGTCACCTGTCCGCCATCGACGGTAGATCGGGATCTACTGGCTGCTGACCCTCGTTATATACCAATTATATATATATCCTGGCTTGTGATACAAACAAGAACAATAAGTGAATAATTCTGACCAGTGAGCTTGCTCATTAAAGCTAGACAAAAGGTGAAGCTGATGTACAAACCATATTTCCAAAAAGAAAACAGAAAAAATGGGAGAGTTTACCCACAGCTACTAATCAGGTTTATTGTTCCATAAATCCAACAAAGGAAAGATGAAACTTAATTAGCTGCTATTGGCTACAGCTATACTTTGCTCTAGATTATTTACAGTGGCATTCTTACTTTATTTGATACAAGTACACTGGTGGACTACTATGGACTGAACCCACACCTTTGCTCCTAGACAGTCCCAATTTGTTGATAAAAGAATACAGCTTTCTCAAATACATTCTACCTTTACAAACACTTGGAGTCTGTACCTATAAATCTCATGTGAAGTACGTTAACAGATTTAAATGTTAATGACTTGTAATAAATACAACCAACTCTATGGCAAATATGACAAACAGTGGAAGAAAAAAAAGAATATTTATAACACCTATGCTCACGGTGTCAGTGCCCATTCACACCATGCCCGCACTAGAATATCACTGGAATGCGCTGTGCGTTCTTTTACAATTTAATCTGCATGCAAAATGCACTGCTTTGCAATCTGCAGTAGGAGTCAATTAAATGTTAAAAGTACCCCAAACGCAGGTTGCAAATGCAGTGCACTTGACAACACCAGATTGCATGGTACATTTATACCATATGACCCAGCTACAGTGCATTTTAAAAAGTAGTGCATGCACTACTTTTGGCACGGTGCGATTTGAGCTCATTCAAAATGAATGGGTTTGATATCACACTGCACAGAGCCCCATGCAAATCGTACAGGAACAGATAGTGTGAACCAGCCCTTAAAGCTCATCAATAGTTAGTACAAGGCACATCTTAGCTGGTGCTAATGTGAAGTGACTGTATGGCGTGAATGTTCAAGAGGAAGTTGATGTCTTCAGCCTCTATTATTCACTGTGCATCACATTCTCATTACTGTACTTTAAGACATAAATCCACAGGGTAAACACTAGCACTAGGAAAATTATACAAACTTCTCAAGTCATTGGAGGCTTATTTAGTTTTTATCATGGTTACTCATATTAATAGGAAAGGTACTTAACCAGGTTGTGTATATAAGCAGGACCTTCATGTTTTTTTTCCATCTGCAGTAAGAGGTTGATTTATTATTATTACAGGTACTTATATAGCGCCGCCAATTTACACGGTGCTTTACATACATATATTGTACATTCACATCAGTCCCTAACCCTCAAGGGGTGTACAATCTAAGGTCCCTAACTCACATTCATACACACATACTAAGGCCAATTTAGACAGGATCGATCTAACCTACCAGCATGTCTTTGGAGTATGGGAGGAAACCGGAGTACCCAGGGGAAACCCACGCAGGCACAGGGAGAACATGCAAACAACAGGCAGGTGGTGCTGTGGTTAGGATTCGAACCAACGACCCTAGTACGGCCAGGTGGAAGTGCTAACCATTTAGCCACTGTGCTGCCCATTAAACTTTTATATGGAATTTTTGAAAAATATTGCATTCCACGAAGAAAAAAAACTGCATTAGATCAAAGCATGAAGAATAATTTAAAGATTTCCAGAAAAAATGGAAATCAGCTATATTTGGGACTGTTCAATTTATTAACATAGAAGGGTTCGCTCCAAATGCAGACCAATCAATAACTTAATGAGCCTTGAACATGAGCATAGCATACAGCAGCAAAATAGTCTTACAATAAAAATGCACCTTTATCAATAAAATGGGTACTAGTCATTCAAGAAGCTATAAAACAAGCCTTGCAGATCATCCACAAGTGTATTGGAACAATAAAAAAGTCAATCCAATCGGACAGCTCCAAGTGGATAGTGGTATAGTGCGTTGATCTGCAGTGCCAAGATCGCCCTGGCATAGTTCCTCTCTTGTACCCACCTAACTGTAGTTTTGATTATTTGCTACACAGAATCAGCACATACTAAGTTTTCCAGCATACCATTTCTAAAAAAGCCAGTCTTTTTTTTTGCCAGGTATGTTGTAAATACAAGCAGCCCTATGCTGACATGGTCATTTTAGGCAAACCTGACAGCCATTTTGAACTAATGAAATTAAAAGTCAAGTGAATTTAATGATTTTTTAAACAAACCCATTTGTTTTGCAAATGCTAGAATTAAAGGTTTGCAGGGTGCTAGCTTTGGCTGTATTAACCTGAAAATACCCAAAGGAGCCCTGGGTGCACTTTGTAACTTATAGCAGGACTCTTCTGATTTTATAGATAAAATCTATCCCCAGAGATAAGCCCCACATTCTAACCTGCTATCCAACCAGAGTACGTCAACAACTGATAACAGTTTACTTTTTGGACAGAGAGATAGTGTGTTAATAGAGCATAGCCCAACAGGTAGGGTTTATCTCTGAAAACTAGGTTCTAGTGACAGGGTATGGAGGGTTACCCAGAGATACAGAAGAGTGCTTTCCCATTAAAGCATCTTGCAGAGGTTAAACCCTAAAACTAGCAAGGGCTGTAAAGTTTGCATTATAGTGGTAGTAATGTCCACTTTGTTATTTATATCTACTGGAAAGCCTCTAAAAAGCTTAACTGTAGGTAATAAACACGCACAGTTTAGGAGATTTTTACTTTAGTAGTAGCCAGTGATGTCACCGCTGCATGCGCACTGTGCTGTCAATGGATGGTATGCCGTCCATTGAGAAAGCTGTGATGAAGCCGTGACTCTCATGCACATGTGCAGGAGTGACGTCATCGTGGTTTGGCCATTCAAATGGCTGGAGCCTGCAAACCTGGAAAGAAGACCAGGTGAAGATGGAAGCCCTGTCAGTGATGACAGCATGCCACTGGATGGCTTAATTTTAAGGTAAGGCTGTCATAATGTACTAGTATGCAATACATACTAGCACATTATGACATTCTGCAGGGGCCCAATTTTTTTTGTTCTTTTGCAGTTTACTACCGCTTTAGAAATTATTGCTTCATTGGTGCATTTTATATATATACATTTGGCTAAAAAGGAATAAATAAACTAGGGTTTGCTGTACATTATTTTTATTTATTTATTACAGGTATTTAAATAGTTTAATTTACGCAGAGCTTTACGTATATATTGTGCTTTCACAACAGTATATGCACATTTAAGTACCTAGCATGTCTTTAGCTATTACCAACCAATGGATGTTTAAACTGTTAGAGTAAACTGAAATGTAATCAAAAGGAATTAGGTTAATCTGCAGTGAGTTGTACAGTTGTTCACATAAAGTATAGCTATTTGTCATTTGGGCAGTTCATGTCCTAACCTACGCAGCAGATTTTGTTATTGCTGAATAGCCAGGTTAACTTCTTGTTGGCAATCACCACTTTGTGCAACCTCTTTTGCAACACATTGATCTGTTTAAAAGGGGTTACTCTAAAGTGCTGTGGACCTCAGAATCTCTTGTATAGTTTAGTTCTGAAGGTTTTAAATGCTTCTTATAAAATAAAGGAGTTGACATGTCTTTTTCAATTCCACTTTTCTTTTTGTATTCTTTGGAACAACTTCCTAATGCGTATCTCAAGAGTGACTGTATCTCAAGAGCGGTTTTGTTTGCATGTGTTTTTTTCAAAATGTTTTGACATGAGTGAGAACTTGTTTCTTACTAAGACTAACCATACACGCACAGATTTCTTTAATTTAGCCTGCAGCCTAAAAAAGAGAACCAGCATGGATAAAGGAATCTCTGCTGCAGGCTATTCTATTCAAGCAATCTTGACAGCAACAGAAGAAGAGAAAGGAGGGCGCCAGGTCAGGGTGAGTAAAAACAGTAATAAACTTTATGTAATAAAGTTTATTACTGTTTTTACTCACCCTGACCTGGTACCCTCCTTTCTCTTCTGCTTGTCTTTAAGGGATCCCCCATATCCTTGATGAGCTGCCGGTTCCATCCTAGGTGTTTTGCCTCTCTGGTCCATCCCCTCTTCATTTTGTTCAGCCTCAGGATGCATTGACTGCTTCCAAACTGTTACCACATCTGCTACATAGGATCCTTACCATCCCTGACGAGGATTTGCAGACTCCTATCCATGTGCCCTGGCATCCTCCTCCATTGGCCCATTCCATGGACATACTGACTCTGACTCTCCGTCATCACATCTTGTGTACAGTCAGTCCTAAGTTTTCCTTTAATTATGCCTACTATCTTCATCCTATTCTATATTGTGTGAGCGCAGAATTTCTGTTCATTGTTTTGATGATTATTGCATTGACACCCACAGCTGCCTAAATACCCAGTGACTACATCTGACTGTATACAATCACTGTTTAGCTGACAAATTTCCACCTGGCTCCTCCTTCAAAGTTTTGGTCAACAACAGCTAGAATTTTGGTCGATTCAGCAGAATTTAGCCAAAATTAGAGCTGTGTATGGCCAGTATAAGACAAACAAATACATTTTTCATTGCCCACTATGACCTACAGTGCTCAGCATAAATGAGTACATCCCAACAAATTTGTCAGAAGACCATTACTTTACTTTCAGAATCAACATTTTCTATGGGACACTATACTACAAAGTACTCCCACAAATGCGGGCCATTGATTGTAAACAAGATTTGCTAATTTGCACACACAAAAAAGTATTTTTCCTAACAAATTCATTAAGTCTTAGGAGCAAAGCTAAATTTTTAAATAACAAAATCCTAATTAACAAGAATTCAACTACAGGTGAGTTTAATTATTCATTAAACAGATGTCCAGCAGACAGTTGATTATAAAAGGGCATTACTTAACAAAGATACCTCTTCCCATTTCATGCTGTCAGCAATAGCACCACATGGTAGAGAAATGTCACAAGGTCTGAGAAAGAAAATAACTTCTTTACACAAGAAAGATGAAGGTTACAAGAAGATCAGCAAAACTTTACTTATCAATCAGAATACTGTAGCAAATGTGATACAAAATTTATCAAAGATGGAACTGCAGCCATCTCACAGAGATGTCCAGGCCATCCATGGAAGTTAACACCTTGACAGGAACGTGTTCTGATGAGAAGGGTTGAAGAAAAATCACCATGCAAGTTCACCGCAGTTAGATAAAGAAGAATGGCATACACTGCAGAGGAATTGCATGCATGGGTGTCATTCACGAAGAAAGCCTCTCCTAAAGCCCATGCACAAAAGAGCCTGCCTAGAATTTGCCAGGGCCCATGCTGAAAAAGTGGAAGACTACTGGGACTCTGTATTCTGGAGAGATGAGACCAAGATAAATGTTTTTGGAACTGATGGCTTCAAAACTGTGTAGTCACAAATATGAGGAGTACAAAGAAAAATGCATGGTGCCTACAGTGAAACATGGTGGTGGCAGTGTCCTTCTGTGGGGCTGCATGAGTGCTGCTGGTGTCTGGGACCTGCATTTCATTGAAGGTATCATGAATTCCCAGATGTACTGCTCTATAGTGAAAGAGAAGATGCTATCATCACTCCATGCCTTGATCGTTGTTAACTTTTCCAACATGACGGATCCAAAACACACATCTAAGGCCACTGTTGCATTTCTGAAGAAGAACAGGGTGAAAGTGATTCAGTGGCCAAGTATGTCTCCTGATCTGAACTCAATCGAACACCTATGGGGAACTCTGAAGAGACAAGTTAAGCATCACTGTCCACCCAGCATCCAGGCTCTAAAAGAGGTCATTCTTGAAGAATGGAAAAAGATACACATGTTGCAATATGTCGCCAACTGTTCATTCCATGCCTAGAAGACTTGGTGCTGTCCTTACAAATCATGGAAGACATACAAAATACTAGATGTAGTAGTTTTTGTTGTGTGGTGTATTCATTTTTGCATTAATTAATTTGAGAAAATCTGAAGATTTTGTAATCTAAGTTATATTATTAACCTTACCTTCATGTAATGAACTAAACAAATGTTCTAAAAAAAAAAATCAGTTTTGTCAAAATTTTGGAAATTGCGCGTGTTGTGAGATATTGATTAAAATCTTATTTTTCAAAAGGGGTGTACTCATTTACGCTGAGCACTGTATGTGAACATCTAAATATACTGAATTTGTTCTTTGCAAACCAGGGCCATATTTTCATTGAGTTTCAGATAGGCTGTCAGTTTGTTTAATTGAAAGACTTGTATTTATATTTTATGTATGTTCCTGGTATATTATGAATTTTTGCTTTACAGGACATGAGGGCTCATTCACATGATTGCACTGATATGCGGTGTTTATCCACTTGGGAAGCACAGGTAGTACATGCAGACAGGCTGTTAAAATCAATAAAACGCTGATGACTGAATAGATCTTTATTGATCTTCACGCCACCCGATGTGTACATCCGTGTGGGACAAAATGCGTGACTTTGAAAGCAGAGATTACATTCAGAGCCGTGCATTAGTCCTGCTCAGATGTACACACAGGGATGTGCATGAAGATCCATGCAAGCAAAGTTGGCCACACACAGCTGCATGGACCAGCCATTCCTCTTGGACAGATAAATGCGGCCCTCTGCATGGGTGTACAGATCCATGCTCCCGTGTGAATTAGACCTTAACGAGCTGCAGGAATTGGAAGCAGACAGACTGGTCAATCATTTCCAATATAAGATTTAAATTGTAGAGTTGCTTCCCATCATACATATTGTTATGGTAAAATTAAAAATACACATATTTGTTTTTCCAGTATTCTCCAAACAAAAGAAAGTATTACCTTTGGTTTCCAGTGTGAATGGGTCCGAGTATTCCCCTGCTACAGCTTTGTTGCAAGCTCGTACTCTAAAGTTCATGTATTTAGAGTTAAACTTCAAACCTGAATGTGAACATAATAAAGACGTGGAAGATAGAAAGATATACCAGTACAGGAAAATTCTGCTTGATTTTGTCAAAGGTCACCATGTTGGAAACAGACTATATTGTTAAGTTGGAAGGAACAATTGTAGTCATGTTAAAAATATTTGAGTCTATTATTGTTTGTGAATTTCTCCATGTTTGTGAAACACTGATAAAAATATTAGTAGGAATACTGCATATGATTAATCCAAAAAAGTGTACACTTCACTTAGGCCTGAAAATAGAGCAGGAAATACACATAGTGCCTACAGCCTAATTGCCCAGGGCTTTTGTTCTCATTCTGACATTGCCCAAGTAATCCACCCACACATTACCCACTGTGTAATCTCTTTTGACTGTTAGTAATGTGGTGTTAGTTTGTTTAACAGATGATCCTGAGTCTGTTTTTCTACACAATCACTTGAAATCCTTTCTATATGATCCCATACAGCTGCTGTACATAAGACTCCTAAAAACAGCCTCAGTACTTCTCTGAAAAGTTTTCAGGACTGATGCAAGCAGTGTGGACTGGCTCTTGATAGGTGTTATACAAATATCAATATGCCTTGAGGGGTGAATATCAGTCTGGGGCAGTGGTCAATCCTAGGTAGGCTGCATCTGCAAGTAGACTGCCCTGAGTAAAGCCCACATGCGATGCAGAACCTCCATGTTTGGAAAAAAAAGTCCAATAACTTAAAGAGGTGGGACAGGGACAATAAGGCTGGGAAGGAAAGGGTTAGATGATGCTGGACATCCTGCAAGGAAATAGTCAAGCTTTATCTCAATTGCTGCAGCTTCTAATTCATACTGTGAAAAGCTTACAGAATGCAGGGAAGTCATAGTAAGAAACTTCAGTGCAGGAGAAGAGCCTGTACAACTATGGAAAACTGAAGGCAAGGCTGGAATTCAGCTTTAAAGTATAACACTACTAAAAGTACATATAAAGTGATATTAAGCCCTTAGTTTTGTAAGCATTTTCAACATCGTTTCATCCTTTCCCTATGTTCCTGTATAAGCAGATGTCATGACCACTGCCCCAGGTTTCCTGTATCAGGGTGTCTCCTTTCTCTTGCAGCATCCCCATTGAGCCACCTTTGCATTCAAGGACTAGGGCTGTGCCTCCCTTCTCCAAGTTAACAGACTGCCTGGAAATTGCACTGTCTACTTTTAACTCTTTTGTAAAGAGAAGCAGCACTGATAGATCAGGAGCCAGCAACACTGAAAGTTGTTAATAAACGTACTAGGGTAAGAATTTTAACAAACATTTAAAAATGCAGAGGGAATAATATACTATTTTAACCTTTAAATCCATGGCCCCGACCCCACCCAGCTGCTAGGTTGAAAGAAAAACTAAGTTACACCTACCAGAAAGTGTATGTTCTGTGCCCTTTATATTATCTACTGTTTCCCAGCATCTCTCATCTTTAACCCTTGGAAGTCCATCATAGTTTGTTTTCCTATATTCCAGAACATAATGGTCAATTTTGTTATCTTCTTCAGGCATTCGCCATGATACTGTCACACAATTGTCAGCCACTATACATTCTGAAGGGTCAATCTCGGGTGCTTTAGGCACTAAATGATAAAAAACAGAATGTTAAGGTTCATTTATATGCACAAGTGACACTTTTAGAGAAGTGGCTACAAGTTTATTAAATATACAACTGCATTAACTGGTTATAATTGCTTTTTGAAAAAGTGTTTAAACAGCTGATGGGTGGAGATGTGAGTGGCACTATCTTTGCTGGTCCTTACTACACACCGAATGGAAGGGTTTGTCATCTACTAGAAAGGTGGACAAACCCTTTAATCAAAAACTGTGTCCATGGGTTTTCATCTAAAATACTTTGGGTGCTATGACCTCAAAGTCTATGAACAAACCATACTGTTCCTGGTAATGAACTGGTATTACGAATTACGAATATAAATAGTTGTTAGAAACAGCTATTCATTTACACAACTACAATCTCCAAAAGAACAGCCTAACAGCGCCACACATAAATATACAGCAATCTTACAAAAATCCCAGTCGATGTTTGTTGGAATTGCAGTATCTTTCATTTTTAAAAGGAAGGGGACAGAGAAGGTCGTCTGACTAATCCTATATACTGTTGCAGCATTAGCATAAGCACTTCTGCAGAACATGAACAGTTCATCAGATCCAGAATACAAAAAGAGCGCAATCAATTTTTTTTAACAGAATCAATTATTTATATACTTTGTGCTGATGCTTTAGTTTCAATCAATGACTTGAGAATTCCTAAACTAGAAAACATTACACTAACAGAATATGCAAAAGCATTGTTAATATATAGTAATGCCAAGGGGTAAGGAATGATATATGCCCTTGTTACCATTATAACAAGAAAAACTACATGGATAACAGCCAAAATCTCAAAAGAACATCACTGCACTATTTTGGTCAATGATATCAAATCTGGAACGTTCATACATTGTAGTAAATTGGGCTTAACTGAGACCGTTTAAAATGAATCTTATTTATTTACTTTAGTTTTTTTTAAAATGTTTTAGATCTGCACAATAAGGTGATCAGTTCAAAAATATGTGAATACTTTAAACATGTGTTTCATATGTAACATGCTATGAAAGCACTGGCCCCACTTCCCACCGATCCCCCACTTTGACAGCTAGTGAGGGATCCCTGTGGGTGATTCCACCCCTACTAGCTGACGAATTTTAAAAAAACGTGGCCGTGCAGGACTCCACCTGCCCGGCCGCATCGCTCGTCTGTGAATGAGAAACTACAGCTTGTAGTTCATTGAATCTTCCTGTCAGTATATCTGCTTGCTCATACATCCAGTACGGGAATGCAGATATACTGACAGATTTGCAGGAGACCTGCATGGCAATGCTTTACAGGCTCCTGCAGCAAAAAATAATAAATGCACATTTTTTTACCTTCAAAAAAATGTGCGTTTACTATTTTTTACCAAAAGGTGAACTTATCCTTTAAACATATGCATTTCTCATCTCATATGTGGCTGACATGTAAACATATGCATTTCTCATCTCATATGTGGCTGACATGTAGAGAAGACATCTGCAACACACTCTTCCTTTTTACCTGCTTTTCATTCTCAATCTACTGCTTGACATAACAAATACACTTTATTGAAAACAAGCAAGCAACAATATTATCCACATTACCTGGTAAGAATTTTAAGCCCTGGATCATTTGCCTTTCCTGGGAAAAATCCACCATTAAATGTGTCATGTTGTCACTGAGTTTTGGTTTCAGTGATAGACGAAAAGCTGCGGCCATTGTAACCCTACAATAGAAAGTAAATTGAGAATAAGCAAAAAAGGACCAGACATGAGGTTTCTGCTGCTACTGACAATAACATGCTCTCTGGTTTTGTGTTATTTGTCTCTTCTCCCAGAGTTCCCCAAAGGCACTTTGATACCAGCACAATGCCTCTTTGCCTCAAATTCACAAGTTAAACTGCACTTGGAACAATCAGGTACACTCAAAAGTAAGTGACAAAGTAATGTGACTTATTTAGAAGAGGTTAATATGGATATTTTACTACTATCATTCATGGGTACATATACATTGTTAGTGATAAACTCGTATTAAGTGCAGAAAACCAGAAATGATTTTGTGATGAAAATGGGCAAAGTAAAACAAGAAAGCAATGGTTTCACAAACAGACACCCAGAATGAATCCTATCCAAATATAAAACTAGTCCTGGATGCCCATTTACATCTTTGTGTTGTGGTAACATAAGCTAAAACCTGCAATGCCTGGTAACACCTAGGCGTTCTGAAGTGCCGTTTATTTTAATGCCACCATAACACAGTAACATACCCACACTGTGTTAAAGAATAAAGTCTGGTGTGTTCAAAATCAAGAAGCTGGCCCAATGCACTGCCACTAAACACACGATAATGCATTGTATTAACACACGAGTGTTAACGCAACGTATAGTCTGAATGGACCTTATATCTTGGTACTTGGTTTCTCTGCCACATGTTGTTTTCCCATGATACTGTGAACAGTCAGTAATCAAAGATTTATACAGACAAAAACAGTGCATATAGTGTCTGTATTACATATAAGGTCTAGGGTTCCTTTTTAGTGCATTGGCAGCTGATCTTATTAGATCCCTGAGCACTGGCTGTCCCTTTGTTCAATCAAAGATTCATGTTCTTACACATGAGATAAGATAAAATGTGCTGATTTTCCTTCGGAAGTATAACTGATGATCCCCAAAGCTGCTACATTTCTGTAAATGTTCTTAAGGTTCTGTAGAAAACTACTATAAACTGTAATTGTACACTTCTTGTCGAAGAGACAGAACATAAACATAAAATACAAGGACAACACCACAGTGCAGGATCATTTTTGCAAGATGAGAAGAGGGGACAAAAGTCAAGACAATCAGAGAAAAGAGTCAAATATATTTGACAGAGTAAGGTAAAGAGGAGATTGGTACTGTACCTATCCTTGATCTGTCTGGCAGCCTTGGTGCAAGAAGAAGAGAGAAAGCAAAGTTAGTGCCTCCATGCAGGTATAAAGGTCAGCAAACTCCATGCAGGACTTAAGGGTAAAATGAACACAACCCGCACCCATTCCTTATAGAACATACAAGTGATCAAAATGTGAGACAGGTCTTGAGGGAGAAAAGAAATACACTGGTGTTACATAAGTTGTTAGCATTGTGGTTAATCGTCAGGCATTATAAGAAAGGAAATATTAAACGATTACCTGTAGTGTAAATGATCAGTCAGTAAAATATTTCAGAATGCACTTGAAAGAGCGTTTCAGTATAATACAGGTATGAGAATTTATGCTGCCAGTATGGTCCATCAGGCAAATATATCATCTAGTAATAGGATTTGCTTTAAATGAGCATGAAAAGGATTGTAAAAGTAGCCAAAATCCTATTTTCCTTGTGTAAAGGTTTGGTAGCATAGCCATTTGAGTTCCGGAAGGTTTTATCCCCTTCATAACCAGGACATTTTTTGCTATTCAGCACTGTGCTATTTTAACTGGAAATTGTGAGGTCATGCAACACTGTACCCACATGACATTTATATCATTTTTTCACACAAATAGAGCTTTCTTCTGGTGGTATTTGATCACCACTGGGTTTTTATTATAGAAATGAATAAAGACCAAACATTTTGAAAAATATAAATCTGCAGTAGGCGGTCCTGAAGAGGATAGTATAAAAAAGTGCCTGAAAAGCTCAAAAATAATGCTTCCCTATGTATGTGAATCTATGTACAGTGAGGAACAGAAGTATTTGAACACCCTGCAATTTTGCAAGTTCTCCCACTGATTTCTAAGTGGGAGAACTTGCAAAATCACAGGGTGTTCAAATACTTCTGTTCCTCACTGGATGTTTTCACACTAAGGCGTTGTAAAACCTGCTTGCAGCATATATGGGTCATGTTTGGGGAGTTAAAAAAAAAAGCCCAAAAAAAACGCCTCTTCACATTGAAATCAATGGAAAACACCTGAAAAATGCCTCAAAAAGCCTCTGAAAAGTGTTTTTGGTGCAGTTAAGTCATGTGTCCTTTAAAAACACTCAGAAAGCGCAGTACAAACACCTATGCGTTTTTGTGGCAGATTAGTGTGTAAGTAGCCTAAACTGTAGATTTGAGCTTGCATTCTGCTAAAAGCATTTCTACAGGTATAAATGTTCATCTAAACTTAATCTTTTTAGTGTGCATTCATGTAATAAAAATGTTTTTTATACTGTATTTTATTATATTATAAGGACATAACAGTTGCTGCATTTGCTAATTACATAAGCAGACTCTGTTAAACTCAAACTCTGTTAAACTCAAACTTTTCCCCATATCTCCTTCCCCCTGAACTGAACTTTTTACATTAGATATGCTTCTTTTATGCCCCTCTGATGTCATTTCAGGGCTCTTAAAACTTCATTCTTTAGCAGCAGCCAGGAGAAGCAATTTTCAGGGTTCAGCCTTCGAACATTTTCTGGGCTGGCTTTTGGAGGCAGGGAACTCTCTGGATACTGCCAACACTCACTGACAACTTTTCTTCAGTTGTCACTGTGGGGTTTATTTACTAAAGTTGGTTCACTCTGAATCGTGTGCACTACTGCATAGACACCAATCAGCTTAGACTGCTTTCACTCTTTTTGAAGCGTTTTTGCGGAAAAAAAAAAAAAATAGCCTGAAAAGCTCAAGAAAACGGCTTCCCTGTGTTTGTGAATGCATATCTATGTATGTTTTTACACTGAGGTGTTCCGCTTGCGGTGCGGTGTAAAAACTCCTGCTTGCAACATCTTTGAGGCATGTTTGGGGAGTAAACAAAAACGCCTCAAAAATGCCCCTACCCATTGAAATGAAAGGTAACCACCTCAAAAAACGCTCCAAAAATGCACCGCACCATGTGTGAAAGTCCGGGCTAAGCTTACTGAAAATGTCAATTCACTATTGCTAGTATGCGGTATTTACCGAAAATAACAAAAACACTCGATAAATACCGCATAAAAAGACCTTAAAGTCAATTCACAAAAGGAAATAAATAATTAAATGCATGCGGTAATTAAGTAGTGGTCCAGGCATGCGGTATGTATTGTATCTGTCAGTACTGTCATGGGTTGTTAAGGAATGAGTGGCTGCAGAGTCCCTAACAGCCTATGATCCATCAGCTGTCAGCGGGATTCCCCACTGAATGTAAAATAAAAAAAAAAGCCTGCAATTACAAAATAATGAAAAAAAAAAAAATGATGTGGGGTCTCCCCCCACCAAGCCCTTTGAGTCTGGTTAGGATTTTGTGGGGAACCCAGACGCCCAAAATTGAAAAAAAAAAAAAAAAAAAAATGTGCCCCCCCCCCCCCCCCCCAAATCCGTACCAGACCCTTATCCGAGCATGCAGCCTGGCAGGTCAGGGAAAGGGGGGGGAGGGGGGCCAACAAGAGCCCCCCCCCCCTCCTGGAGAACCATACCAGGACACGTGCCCTCAACATGGGGGGGGTTCTTTGGGGCAGGGGGGCTCCCCCCCAAAAGCACCTTGTCCCCATGTTGATGGGGACAATTGCCTCTTCCCCACGACCCTGGGCTATGGGGGTCTGCAGTCAAAGGGCTTATCAGAATCTAGAAGCCCCCAGATCCTGCCCCCATGTGAATGAGTATGGGGTACAAAGTCAATCACAATGCCCGCGGCTACCCGAAAAAAGAAAAAAAAAAGGCTCTTCTTCTGACGCTGGTCGTCTGACTGATCTGCTGGCTTGACAGTTCTTAAATATGTAAAGGGCGGGGCATCACGTATATGACCCCGCCCCCGTGTAACATCATTGACCCAGCATGCTCCGGTCAATGATGCCACACATGGGCAGGTCACACGGGTGATGTCACCAGGTGGCCCCACCCCCCTTACATATTTAAGAACTGTCAAGCCAGGGAAGCAGTCAGACGGCAGGGAGCCAGCATTGGGAGTGGAACCTTTTTTTTCCTCTTTTTTCAGGTCGGTGGCAGCGGGCATCATGATTGACGTTGGATCTACTTTGGGGGACATTCTTTTATTTTCCTTCTTTTAATAAAGGACTTGTCAAAAAAAACTGACTCCTGTCTTTTTTCACACTACAGTTTTTTTTTCATGAATGGGTAGTGGTAATATGTACTCAAACTCATTCACATAGGGGGGGGGGGGGGGACCTGCAGGCCCCCTTGCTAAAGGGGGGCTTCCAGATTCCGATAAGCCCTCCCACCGCAGACCCCCACAACCACAACCCAGGGTTGTGGGCAAGAGGTCTTTTGGTGTGTGGGTTCCCCTCAAAATCCATACCAGACCTGAAGAGGTTGGTATGGATGGAGGGGGGACCCCACGCCATTTTTTAAATTATTTTTTAATGGCAATTCTCTCTTTTACATTCAGCTGTCAGTGGGGAACCCCGCTGACAGCTGAAACATGACCGCATGTTTCTCACTACTAAAATACCGCATGACTTGATAAAATAACTCATGCAGTATTTTAGTAGCATTTTTTAGTGAATTCAGACTTTTTCTTTTAAATGCTATGCGGTATCCTACCGCATACTCGAATGCGGTAAGATACTGCTTAGTGAATTGTCCAATATTATCTATTGCATCATTTGTTGCTAGGTTTTGAGAATAAAAGCTTGCCAAAAACGTGCAAATCTTCCCAATTTGTGCTACAAAAGTAAGTCACATGTCCAGGATGTTCAGCATGAAAAACGCTTGAAAAATGCTCCAAAAACGCTAGTCATTTTTCAAGCGTTTTTGAGGTGAACCAGTGTGAAAGCAGCCTTACAGATTTTTTTTGCTATAGCTTAGATGAACAAGCTGAGGTTAGAAGGTGATTGGCTACCATGCACAGGATTCTGAATGAACTAGCTTTAGTAAATAAACCCCTTTATGAGGAACAGCAAACAGCAGATCTCTTTTGCTTTGCTACTCACTATTCCTTAAGCAGCGGTATAATATCTTTGAGAGTCTAAAATGTGCAATACGCTCATTTTATGCAGGCTGAACAAAAAGATTCTGCCATCCTTGATATACAAATCTCCCCCTATTCTTACTGTATTTTGACAGCCAGTCCCAGCAACAATTTTCTTTTCAGCTCCTTCGATTTTTGAATCGAAGGCTGACAGATGTGAGGGAGCCAACAAGACCAACCACGGAACAGTGCAAGCTTAATTAGCGGAAAAAAAGTTCAGAGCAAGTCTGCTCAGCCTACAAATTGTTCTTTTTGTCCCTGGCAATAAAGAGCTACAGGACACCAATCTGGAAAGCTACCACAGCAGGTTTAGAGAGGCAGTTTATTTACTTGAGTACCATACAGCTGACAATATACACTGCACTGTCGATGTCCTGAGAACCTGAGCAATCAAGGGCTACAGTGCACTGATCAACTGGGACAGAACAGCTGGCAGAGAAAGAGAAGTTGCCAGGCAATGAAGCAGTTTTTTGTTACACAAGTCTCCACACCCTATGATTTATTCCATCTGGTCAGTGTCCTTGGTTCTTAAGCAAGCTGATGGTCACAGATCAGATCTAGCCCACAGGGCACAGGACGGCAAAGCTGGACCGAAAGAGGCAGGGTTGTGGAAAGAAATGGCACTTCACTAACAATGACTGTTGACAATATTGTGCAATGGCTTGTACCTTCCTCATAAATACTCTATTGTTATGATGTCATTTATTATAGCTCTAATGAGCTAAAAGAATGTGCCTCACATTATATGAATCACTTCAGTATCTTTAATAATTACAAAGTAGTTGCTAAGCCAATAGTCAATAAGCCCATAGCTGGGTACCAGTCCATAGGGGCTATACAGCTGCTGACCAGGCCCCAAACATACACACTGCAGGCACTCTATGGCTGGGTCCAAACTCTTTGGATGGCTAGGGCCACCATAAGTACAGAGCAGCTATGGGGATGAACAAATTAAGAGGACCAAAACCCTGTCTGCACTTTTTACATGAAAGCCAAACAAAGCACACAGTGAAGATCTCCAGGCAAG